CGCCCTGCCCGGGAGGCGCCCCGAGTCTCCCCGGCGCGGGCGAGGCTTCCTCTCGGCCGCGGGCCCCGCGGCGGAGTTGGGGGCCCATTGGATCGCACTTTCAGGGGCTCCCCGAGGAAAAGAGGGTTCTTGAGAAGCGCTTGAAAACTTACCCCCCCCAGTGCCCCACGCTGTAGGCTGCCTGGAGGGGCGACTCGGCCACTCCCCCGCCGGCGACCCCCGCCCGCCCCCTTTTCCGGCGGGGAGCAGCAGCGGGCTGCTCTCGCTCGCCGCACTTCCGGCGCGCAGCGCTGTCCCGGCGCGCTCTGGCGGTGGGGCTGCCCGCTCTGGCGGTGGGGCTGCCCCGCGGGGCCCTCGGGGGCCACTGCCCGGAGGCGGCAGAAACTGATCGTAGACTGGGCAGTCGGCCAGGACGGGTCAGCCCCCGAGGTCCGGGCTGCAGGCGGCCTCCTCTGAGCCCAAACGCTGGTGGCCCTTCCAGTGCCCGGGGTGAGAGGCCCCAGCTCTGTCCACTCTGGTGCAGTAGTGCGGGCAGCGCTCACGGTGGGCTGCCTCACACCGGGGCTGCAGTGGCCATGCCGAATGACCATCGCCCAGTCTGCAGGTGGCCGCCTCCCTCTTGCGGAGCGGGGTTCTCCCACCCCCCGGCCATTCTGGGTTCCGGCCCCCCTGGGTGGCCGCCCGTGCCAGGGTGCGTGTGGGGCCTAGGGGACAGACACCGGTGCCAGTGTGGCCAGCAGGGCCTCGTGGCAGCTGAGCCTGGGTGCTGCGGCGCTGCGTGGCCTCTGGATTTTCAGCGAGTCGGCACCAGGAAAACGACTTGCTTCGGGCCTGTTTCTGGAAACTTCTACGGGTCCAGCGTCACCACTGAGACAGACCGCGTCGTTTCCCGTTTCATTTGGAAACGGCTGAGCTGGACGAGCAGGCGACGTGGTGGCCGGTTCTCAGGCTGCGCAGCGGCCCAGTGCCTCAGTTCCGGGGGCGTGGCCGCGTGGCGCGGGAGCAGGCGTGGGGGGCCTGCCGGCTCCAGTGTGACCCGCTCTTCTCTGCCTTACAGAGTCAACTGTTCATTTTACTTCAAAATCGGCGCGTGTCGTCATGGAGACAGGTGCTCTCGGTTGCACAACAAACCAACCTTTAGCCAGGTTTGTTTTTTTCTCTCATTTTCTCTGTTTTTATGTCACTGTCAAAACTCCGTATACTTCTGAGAACGCGCAGCTGACGTTCACGCTCATCTTGCAGTGGTGCCCTCGAGCGGGTCTGGTTAAACGGTGGGTGAGTGTGGGCAGCCGCAGCGCCAGCCCTGCCCCCGGATGGCTCACGTGCGGCTTCTAGCCCTGTGTGATTGGGCGTTGCCCACCCCCTCCCTGCCCCTCTGGTGGACCCTGTCCGCACAGCAGCCGTTTTTTCCAGGCCCCGGGAGGG